AAACAAATGACAATTAAACATTGGTTGAGTTGAGGATCAAGAATTATGCACGTGAAAGGTTTCTTTCAAGCTTTTATATTTTTCATGATATCGGCGATAATAATAACCGTTTTTATTTTATTCAAGATATATGCATGAAAAACACATAATTTTTCTTCTTTGCAAAAAGCAAACAAACAATACAAAACAAAAACAAGCAGTGTATGTTGTCGCATTATGCAAATCATGACGTCAGAGTACAGTGTAAAAGTTAAAGTAACCATTGGCAACCTTGTTTATGGCATGCTTTAGGGAAAATATCAAAACAATTAGACAAAATAGTGACACGGTGGTCGGTACAGGTACATACCCACTACCTCTTATAAAATGAGGACCTACAAATCCAATGCAGTAATATTTTTAATTTTTCATATATGACTTCAAATATCCATTCACAATCCGTTTCCATCCGATGATTTTAAGATCAAATCTTAGAATATCTCCATTCATATAGCTTAAAKGTATAGTAGAGAGTCTGTTTTTCTTACTTTACAATGCATTTTTAATTTCAAACATAAACCAAAGTACATATGGGATACCTGTTCACCATGGACCTTTGGCATGATCTCATTGGACCATGAAGCGGCATCCGTCGYGCGTTTTTACCGCAGTTTTGCAGAGGGTCTGTATTCCAGTTAGAAAAGAAAAGTTCTCCTGCATCGAATATGGAATAGTTTTCTTACAACTGTGCAAAGTTAGTACAAAATTCTTTGATTGTATTCTGAATTAGTTCAGTTTTAAATTTTCTTAATTGTTTCACGGTTATAATGAGTGCTCGATGTGAGAAAAATTTGAACTGTCTGAGATGCAATATAAGTGGTCTATTTCTATAGGATACACAATTTAWGGCGAGCCAAAGGCGAGTCATTGCATTTCTTGAAAATCGGACTTGATTATGTGACTGAGTTAATTTAATCTTTTCCTTTTTTTTTCTTTTTTTCATTTTTTACAAATCAGGGGCGGATTTATGTTACTGAATTTTGAATTAACTCCTCAAAAACCGATGTAGTTATCGTTGCATTTACGCTAATTCTGCTTTGAACAACCTGGACCTAGTTTAGTCGCTAAGCATGATCCATTTTACTTGATTTAAAATCTTCGCCACTTAATCTGATGATTCGAAATTGTTTTCTTCATAACTTGTTAATGTTTTTTTAAATAGTTTTACTAATGTTCTATTATAACAGAATGTGTTATATACACTCTGAAATTTCTCACGATTAGTGCTGATTGACAGTTTCCTTCAATTCAGAAGGTCGTTTTTTTTCCTCAATAACAAGCCAACTAAATATCTTCGTATTTTTTTGTTAATTGTTAATTTTGTTCCCAGCTTGAACTAATTGCTACATAGTTTGAGTTTCGATTGCTTATATAACAGAGAATCGAGAAATGGTCGCAGAAAAACGAGAAAAAGAGTTTACGAGACGGAATCGACATTAAAATTCTTTTTGGCCTATTTCTTTTTCTTGTCGATGTCAAAGATTGTTCTGTCAGTATCAACCTTACTATCAAAGTGGATTTTTTGTTTATTTGAAAAAATTTCGTCCACACAGAATGGTAAAGTTTAGCTTTTTTGTGCATAAGTACAAAGTGTAACTCTTACGACTCGCCATCCATTGATAAGGTGAAAGACATGTTTGGGAACCATGAATGGGTCAGTGTATAAGCCTTTTGTCTGTGGATATCGCCTTGGCTTCAACAAAATGTATCGATTGGTCAAAAGAAGCGCCATCAGAAAAGTTTTGCAAATTACATAAATCAATTCAACAAAAAGAASGACATTAAATATTGATAAAATTGACACAAGAATACAGAGTGAACTTGATTGGAAACGGGGACTTGTGTACATTGGAAAAACGAAGCCAGTTTAAAATGAATACTTAAAGAAGTTTTTCTCATATTGCGGTGTGAGGTAACTCATAAATACTTAGACAGTTCTGGCAAATGATTATTCGAAAGGGCATTCAGTTATTTAATTAGTTTAGTAGAGGAATTATTACCACTAAATGTTATAAGGGCCTCCCTAATCGTAGTTGAACCGACTCTCAAACGGTTTAATTACTAAATGGAAAGAAATTCTTGTAGTAATGGCTGCAGCTCTCTACTTGAAACTCCTCCTTGCTAAACACAGGCAAGTCTTTATTGGTTTATCGCAGATTGGCGGCTTTGCAATATTGTTTTTTGTTTTCACTTGACATTAATATTTAATAACTCCTAGCTTCGCAAGTCTCTCTCACAAAATAGATTTAGCTGTGCTTTGTTTCATTCTTGTATAGTTCACTGCACTAGAATTTTATATTATTTACAACGGACATATATATATGAACTATCCGCACGCAGATATTCCTTAAAAACGCTGTAGGGTTAGGTTAAAATGAAGCAAGTTCCCTAATAGCGAGATTGTGTGTCACCACGGGGTTTACTCTGTACGTATTTGGTGAGGAAAGTTATTATTGCCTGGCTTACAAGGTTGGAAGCACAAACAACAGCCATGTTATTCTCAGCAGCAGATGGAGGTTAATCTCAACTAACGATAGTCATTGTTTTGCAGAAGCGATATACCGAGCCAGATGAATCACGGCGCTACTGGGACGAGCTGGCAGTGATCTTAAATACTCAATGTGGAAGTTCATTGATGCAGGAATGGTAAAACGTTCTATTGATAATCACATTATTGGATCTTTCTGTTTGATCTTCACTATTTTAGGTAAGTCTTTAATTCGCTTAATATTTGTATTTTAATTCACTTCAGCTACATGGATTGATAATGGATTTATTTTGAGATTTGCGCTGRGAGTTTTARCCTGCTTAAAACTGAAAATCMTTCCAAAGGACTTGATGCAGTYGATCTCAACAAGCCACTTGTCTCAGACAATAATCATATCTTTTCAGTTTGTCTCTAAATCAACTCCTTCAACAAAACCATCAAATATTCATCAATYAAAGGTTTAGGAATGGAAATAACGGACTTTTATCTTAAACAAAAATCGCATTTTCTTTCGATTGGTTTGATATCGGGATCGCARATCTAACCCCAACAAGCGCGCCTTTATGTCGCATTTCTTTGCATGCTTTGACGTTTTTTGATGTTTGTTTTAAGAATAATTACCAAGGAGTAAACAACAACATTAAGATTCTATTAAATACCCCCAAATCTAATTTTCTTACAAGGCTTATCCTTTAACATCACTTTTTTTAAGATCAAGTTTTTAAAAAAACAGTTCTTGTTTAGTGTTATTCCCATTATGCTGGTATGGCCACATACTGTGTTACGGTCTTTTAGGTCAAACGAAAAAGTTTACTATTATTGGACTATCTTCCCAGAACACTCCAATTTATTGGGAGAAGGACTACAACAATTTTTCATAAGTTAAAAGTTTATCTGGAAATCGAATCGGATTTATAATCGGGCAAAGTCCTGCTTAATGACAATATTTCAGTGCTTTTGAGGAAATTCTTCATTGTAATGATTACACAAACTGACAAAAATGGCACGTGAATGTTTTCCCCGTGTTCCGTGTAACCTTGCAATGAATTCGGTGTCAAAAGAACAAATACAAAAAGCACCACGCAAAACCATCATGCGTGTTTTTGTCAGATATAACTAGAATCCTTTAACGTAAATTGCATGAATGTTATTCTTTAGAGAACATTTATACTGGTGTGAAATTCACAAAACCTTCTTTCAACATACGTTAATAAAAAGCGTAATATTCAAGCTTTATCTGACCAATTTATCCGGATTTATGCATTCATACAATTGCAAAAAGTAAAATGAAATGAAATGAAATGAAACGTAAATTAATGCCAAGTGCAAGTGGGCGAAATCCGTTTGATTGAGCCGAGTACAGAAGCTGATAACAAGCGTGCATGTGTCCAACGATTGGATGCTTGCTTGGTGAATATTACTCGGTTAGTAAGATGTTGAGCAAGGTGTGAATGGGCTAATGCATCTCAACAGTTCTTAAAGATACCATATTATCAGCGAACAAATAAGCTGCTAAAATTCACACTGGGATAAAGTACTTAAATCCCTAAACCCCAAACGATGAATTGCTAAATAATGTACAGAAAACAAAGGACTCATATTGGAATAGTGTACTAATGAAATCAGACTAAGTAACTTGATTTCAACGGGGTGGCACTGGATATGCAGCAGCTAATGTCATATTTCCATAAACACTTTACATTTGAACTATGATTGCAATCAGTGTTAGGTATATATTCTAACAGGGTTAATTAAGATATATTTGGAATGTAATTTTTCAATATTAAAGGGTTTTTTTGTCACCCTTCTAGGCACCCAACCCTTTTATAATATCATATCATAAAAGAATTCTTAAAACAGCGATAATTCTGATGATAATTTATCGATACRTTGATATAAAGTTTGTTTACGTCCCTCCCATGCATCAGTTAATCACATACAAAGACGCGGGGATCTTTCTTCAGCGGAAGAGTTATGGTAGCTTTATATCTTTCCATCTTTTCCATGATTACACTATCTGGGAATCAAATACATGCCTTGATACTGGAAGTCTGACTCACTAGCCGCAAGACAACCAAGTGTTATATCATCCATCAGCATGTAGTCTTTAGATGTAGTATATTTATCATGCAATTTATTGAGACTGTCATTAAGATACTTTAGAGGAGAAAACTAATCCGGGGGAAATGTAATTACTAATCACTTACATTCCGGGAAGACAGCTAACACGGGGAATACTGATGCTTAATTCCGGGAAGACAGCTAACACGGGGAATACTGATGCTTAATTCCGGGAAGACAGCTAACACGGGGAATACTGATACTTAATTCAGGGAAGACAGCTAACCTGGAAAACTATTATTACTAATACTTTATAACTAAAGGGGACAGCTATATTAACCTGGTCGAACTGACCACAGATATGCAGCTATTTTAAAAAGMTTTGTGCGAAGTGTGTACTGGTCTTTTSYCCTTATGACGTCATATTTGTTTTACCGAAGTGCATTGTGGTATTGATAAAAGTATTGACCAAATTTGCGCTAGSCTTTGTGAGTATATTGTGCATCCAAGGACMGATTTTCTCRCATCAGAAAAACTCGCCATCTTTGATTTTTGAACCAATCAGAAAGCACCTTTCACCAAGAGATCATTTGTAAAGCAAACCAAAACGATCGCAAAAAACATTTAATAAAAAAAATTAAATTGAATTGCTTTTGAGCACTATAGTACTTCCTCTCAGACAATTTTGAGCAACACGTCAGTACTTTCGTTATTCCCACCGTGCATCTTACCGGAAATAACGTCATAAGAGAATAAGATTCTCGTGTATATATTACAAAAACAAACTTTTTAAAACTGCTGTACTATCCGATGCAAAATATGCTGTTGCTTCAGGGTGTTATCGTTTTTACTAATGTATTATTTTGCTTTTCATACGTTCTTTCGTAGCTTTTCGCCGCGCATCGTGTAAGTAATATTTTGCTCGTTGTGAGGTGTTGTAATTTACAACTTGTAWTGCAAGAYGATTCAAATTAATCGACATTAACTGCATGGTTGGTAAAATATTAGTTTGAACGTATTTAAAAAATAATATCACTTGCATGTCATAGTAACCACATTAATTCTTTCATCGACTCCGACTAAATAATGCTATGTTCATTTGAAACAACTTCAAAAGTTCAACAGTCCATCCTGGGGGGACTCACATATACAGTTAATTGTGAACTCATGTCCYCAGCACAAAAGCTTGAAAATATCCGGTATCGTTTTTGCCCCACTGAAATTCAAAATTCAACATTATTTATACAACGATCACTTCAGYTTTATTTATTTGGCTCAGAGATCGGATGGGTATTACTTATTTAGGAATCAGAGATCAGTGAACAAATTGTCTCTTTATTGTAGGGCGTGTCGTTATTAGTGGGAGRGGGGTGGKGGTTTAAAAGAATCAAAGTTTTTAACCCTGGGATCTGTCAACTAAGATGCATTTYTGAATGTCTCTTCCACTACTCTAAATGCACTCTTTCTTCAAATGAAATATCAATGTCAAGAGCATTTATAACTCATTCAACTGGGAAGAACTATTGGTGAAGGGGAAATGACAACATAGATACAGAAATTTAAGATTTCCAAGGGTACATTCTTCCTGAATACATAGTAGTTTTGATGAAATTTGATAATGAATGTGATTTATCTAAGTTTACCAAATCATGTTCGTGCATGGACGTGTGGACTAATACACAGGCAACCCAAGAAAGACATTTAAACTTAACTTATATTTCAGTCAAATTGTCGCATTCCTTTTTTTCAATAGAATACATYTTAATCTCATGTTTTTTATTTTTATTTAACATTGTTCTGTGCAATTTTGAGGCGTTTTAATGTTCATATGACGGATGCTTCCAACTGTAGTAACATGCTACAAGACTTTTGTTACTAGTCTTACACAMCACTCGTCTTTGATGGCAAAAAAAAAGATAAATCCAAAATTGCTTCCAAAATCCCCTCAACGGCATGTCTCTAGGATCCTTCTATCTATAATAGGGTAATCTTTTAACGGATTTCATATCCAATCGTACGAAATTGTCAAGTTTATGGGCTATTCTGACTCACTTTTGATATATTTCGACTGTAATATTGGCCGTTAGGTTTTAAAAAGTGTCTTTATTGTGTTACCTGTGGCTAATATATAACCAGTATGAAATGATATTTGTCACGTGACAGGTCATGTGACAAATCACGTGACAGCATGCGATCTAATCACCAGGCATGATGCATGATTAGGGTAGTTTTTTAATTCATGCATGAAGACGCGTCTACAAAAGAGTGACCACATTATTACTGTTAATATTTATAAGTTATCTCATGTTTTATTCATAGGTGCTATTTATCCATTTCCTGCATGGGGCTCTCCTTATCAAACCGCTGACCATTTTTGGCCTTTTCAAAACATCACTGGAGGTCTGCTCGACGATGTCCAAGGAGCCGCTCACACTATTGTATACAATGGCGGCAGAATCAGGAAAGTCAGTCAACTTGGAACTTCTCTCTTTCTGGATGGCAAAGATGACTGGGTCGATACGGGTAAGCTGCGGAACGAAGAGAGTTTTTTTTGCATAAAATATGATTACTCACACGTATGTATAAGTAAAGCGTGTGTTGTTATTTCCTTTTATTATATAGATGATTTCTAACGCGTGCTCTGATTGGCCAGAAAAAGTGTGGTTTATGAGAGTATAAACCACGATTGTGCGCGAGCGATTTTTGAAAAAGGCAACAAAATGGATTTTTGCTTAAGTTTTGCTCAAAATCTATATAATAAAACAAATAAATAAGTCTCAGCCTGTGGTTTATACTCTCATAAACGCACGCTTGGTATTTGAAAAACACGAGAAAATGTCAAGAAGCACGAGCTGAAAGCGAGTGCTTTTGGACATTTTTTAGTGTGTGCTAAGCCTTATTTATTTGTTAAATAAAACACGTTTGTCAGTGTTCTTTTCGATTTCATCAGTTCCGTCGTTAACAGTTGAGATATAGTGTATAATCTAAGAGCGCGTGAGCCATGTGGGATAAAAAGTCTGAATAAAACATTTACGAGCACGCGCAATGGGTGACTAGATAAAACTCTACACTTTCTCATTGTGCATGCTCAGATCAGAGTAAATTTGTACATACTGACTTATAAGCTTTCTTATACGTGGGGTTTTACTGTATTAAATTGCTCTATGGCATAATTGCGTCACACTCAAATTATGGTCACCAGATGGGGACAGAATTAGTGCATATCAAAGAAAATGACATGAGYATTTATTGCTAAAAGGAATATGTCAAAACCAGATACAATTGAGAGAGAATATTAATAGGTCTAAATTTACATTTTTCTAAGCATTTATTCCTAGAGTACAAACATTAAATGCGTGCAATACTTTACACTATTTACTACAAAATAGTGTTAATTAAACAATAGAAAACAATAGAATTAGCATAATTTAGTGGTATTTATGTTGCACAGTTTTAGTGTTTGTGCTCTACTTTAATTAATACGATGTGACGTCATTATGCGATAGGTCAATTGATGGGTGTGGTACTTTATAATATTGTGTTATCTTTCAGCCTTCTTTTAGCTCAGTAAATGCAAACGTGAATACCATGGTCAGTCGTGATAATATTTATGTAACAAAACTATACAAATACAATTAATTGACGAACAGACGAAAATAAGTACTAATTTGAACAAAAAATGAACAAGCAGATTTTATACTGTAAAGAAAGTCTGTGAAATTAACTAAATGAATTGGTCATCAAAGATGTATTTCGTATCATTGATCTTGGACGCGTTGATTGTAATAATTCCTTAACGTACAGTATACATATAAGGCTTTTACTGTAATTAGCTATTGTCCAGGCTGTTTTCGCCTACAATACCATACARTTATTTCAGAAAATGTTGAATACTGAATATTGTGATAMSGCATGTTGCATTMAAAGAACGCARTGCATTGTTGTTAATAAAMACCATATACATTGAAGTTCTTGACTTGACGAAGCCACAAAAACTTATTTTGAAACAATATTGCGTGTCGGTCTTTGAGAACACCATCCCGTATCAGTATTCAACATTTTCTGAAAGAGCTGTATACCGTGAAGGTATTATTTTCAATAATGAACACTCATTCCGCGATGACATTTTTATCTTTGCATCTGTGATAACCAATCTCTCTTGTTGATTTAACCAGACATTTCTTACAGTGAACGGAAAACAACTTTACCGAAAGGAATGAAAAGYGAATATTGAGAACTGAAAACAGTTGAATTTCACTAAAACAACACTCAAAACAAAACAAACYAACATACAGTTCAACAATTACAAGATAAAAAACAATTCAGACATGATGATGATCTTAATACATGTTGAAAGTAGTTCTGCCAAGACCGCTATGTCATCAAATTTYTTAGAATTCAAGGTAGAATACGGTCATTTGARTCATAATGCACGGCCTTCAGCGACTGCAGCRGTGACTAACCTCAATCTTATTGCTAGGAAATGCTAGAGATTGCAGCGAGCTACATGCAATGAAGTTTGGCTGTAAGTAAGTCCGTTTCGATGGGTTTCATATTTTCTTTGTTTTTGCACGTGTTTTGCACATGATGAGCATTCCAAGCTGCACTAATTTGCATAAGGATGGCTTTAGATTTGTATTGAAATTAACGGCTAAATTAACCCCGGCTTTTATCTTACTGCACTAACTTACCAACGTTTCGTGCCAAAGTAACCAATTTTTTTAATCAAAATAGCCCATTTAGTTTTATCTATTAATAACAAAAAGAAAAAACTATTTAAGAAGAATAAATAAAAAAAAAAACAGAAAAATGAAAGCATGGATGATAAAACTGGTCAAAAGTGAAAATATATGTTGTTACTAGTGGCCAAGCCTTTACATGGACCGAGAGAGGCTTGATAAGAAGGGAGCAACTAGATGAGAAAATCMRTGAGAATAGACAAGTTTCAAGACGATTTTCTCGTGTTTTGTATTCAGCTCTAGACGGGATCCTTTTATCGTCATTTCCACTGTGGCTGGGCCCATTTAAGACTACAAACTTTAAAGATGGCGGGTTAAGTTGTTTGTTGGACTGGCACTATAGTCAGTTAGGGTAGACTTTAATTCAGTCTTATCTAAAAAAATAATTATATAAGATGGAAAAGAAAGGATATAAAAACATGCGGAACTCTCTTTGGGACATTGCTTAGCTCTGCTCCTTGAATCAATTACCAATCAAGATGGCCGCCGTTTACCAAGTGACTTTCTGTCGTGCATTCGAACATCTCGCCGACAATGTGATTCGTGAAATAACAATATCTCAATTATACTTGACGTACAAATGAAGTGCCATCTTCCTACTTGAAACTTCAATCTTACTTTTTTACGGAAGGGAGCTCAACCTGTTTTACAATATCTTGATACAAATCGGTAATAAAGTCGTTGTTTTTGAGCATTTCAGCGATAGTTGTCTTCCTCTTGAATTGTGTAATATTTTCAAACCTAGTCTTGGCAGAGCTTCTATTCGCAACACACGATTGACTAGACTAAGTCTATCCTTATGCAAATAAACTGATTTCACCAGCACATAAACATCGTTCGCTCTCGTTCATCACCTTCACTTGAGCTTTGCTCTTCACCTCCACGCAATATTTCACTTATTTCTATCTTTTTAATTTTTGAAAGAAAGTTGAGAAATGAATGAATGAACAGAAAGAGGGAATAGTGGAAGAAAATGATTAGTGATCTCCTTACACCTCACTGCCTTCTCTTCAAAGGTATCCATGTCTTTGCATCTTAGCCAGACCACCTGTGAACTTGCAATGATAGATACCATTTTTCCGGTGTCTATAGTTGTACAGGCTGGCTGGTCATCTCGCTGTGGTGCAAGGTAACCAGGCTACCTTTCAAGAGGCKCTGGGGACTGTAAACGAGATTGTTGTATACAGCCAGAATTCAGTCGTACAAAAATAAAAATAAAAAAAAAAAAAAAATTTCAAAAAAACGTTGAACTTAAGAAAAAATTATTTTCACTGTCGCTTCAAAGTCTTCATGCTGAAATCACGTCACCGTACGTAACAATTTCACAGTTGTTAGATGGCATGATGTAATTCTGATAACTCTACCAAACATTCACTGTAAACACATTACACAAAACATTACACATTTAACCAGTAAACTCTGCATGTACACTTTACAAAACTCTTTTACAATACGTTCAAGTGCTAATGAAACCTTTTAGAAAATGATTTTTTTCCGAAAAGGAATATGCTAYTAATGACTTCTGTGAAAAAATAAATGTCTTTGAATTTTATTTTGTGATTTTTAGGCATTTGAATTTTGAAAATGCAAATAA